AACAGAAGGAAACATAATATAACCGGGAGGATTTCCTACATTCAAGATAGAAGAAACGAAATAGGGACTGACAAAATAGAGAACCCAAAGGGTCGTCCCATTTAGGAACAACAGCAAAGGTAAGTACAGAAAGGCGATAGTAAAATTACCGGCAATAATAACAAGCGACTGGTCAAGAGATTTTCAAACAAGTGAAAGAGCAACAGAATAACATTACCAACCACTTACTCGAGGACAGAAGATAGATGAATTCGCAACAGTATAGTTAACGTTAGCTATTTCATCAGAAGATATGAAACAGAAGTCTACTATCAACAATTTCATAGATATGTATCATACTCCATACTTTTAGGGTCATAGTGATACTTCAGTTAACAAACGAGAACCATACCTCCTATTACTACGCAGATCACAGGACTCTGACTAAAAGATGTCAGTACTTTCTTGAGAATTCCTTCTAAACACTTGCTGTAATAATCTTGCCATGTAGCGAGGTTTTACAGGTTTTCATGCTACCAGAACGGTAACTTAGACGGTGCTCAGTAACTTCAGGTCCCATGATGACACTCATTAATCAGACAAAGTGAACTCATTATTTTTTCAACAAAAAAAAACTCAGAATCAGTACAAGCAAAACACAAATGGTAGACAAAGACACCGACAAAAAATTCCGTATTTTAAAACGTCAAAAACATAAGTAGATTTAATACACCTTTCAAAAGTAAAAAATAAACACAAACGGATAAAAAACAGTATCAGAAAAACAGTTCACTTTGTCAACCTTTGTCTTTTTTTTGCGGTATATTATAACTGGAACTGACGCGCTAAACAATTAGACAACAGATGTCTAAATGCACAAAATATGAATAAGGAAAGGAGACATGTGCTATTAATTATTAATTCAGTCTGAAAAACCCACTCATTTACATTAATGATGGATAATGGTTAGCAGTACTATCCGGAACGCGTGTTTCGTCCTATTTGAGACTCGTCAGCTGGATATATCTGCCTTTCAGTGAGTATTGTTCCCTCAAAGACTTGAACCCAGGACGGATCGCTTCAAATGCCAGAGCGTTACCCATTAAGCAAGTCTACCCAGCTGATGAGTTCCAAATGGCATGAAACTCACGTTCTGGATTCCACTGCTAGCCACTATCTGTCATCAACATAAAATTGAAACAGGCTATATCGAGGCATCCACGCAGGAGCCCGTATGCCAGTAGAGACCGATCAATTCGGTCGAATCAATGACAGGATAATGCAAGCAACAACATAAAAACTACTCATTGTTCGGACAGATAGACGATTTCAAGGAAAGAAAGTACGAAATACGATTTCTTTAAAAATACCCAAGGATGTGTAATGAACTAGAGATGCCATGAGACCGATAAATACGTAATAGGCTATGAACTATATTTATCGAATCAAGGTTGATAATACTACTAATTAGACGGAGCCAAAGCAGATGGAGCGGGATTCGAACCTGGGCCCCATTGGCTGGAAGTTGAATTCTTACACCAATGAGTAAGATTTGAATTCATAATTCATTAGTTGAAAGCCGACAACAACAACAGTTGCAATACTTAAAGCTTCATATCAAGCAATACAAAAGCAAACAAATACTTTTGTTGATCAATTTACGTGCATACTAAGTATGTTAGGATAAGGTCTTTAACATTGAGATCTAGTGTTACAAAAGTAAATAATCAAACTGAGTTTTCGAATGATTTGAGCATTCAAAATACGTCACGGACATAGAACAGTAACGCATTCAAGAGACAATTTTTCTCATTATCAGTAGCACTAACGATACGATACATACAGATATGCTTCACATGTATTTTAAATAACATATATATCTCAGACTTGTAGAAAAAAAACCATTTGCACGCAAATCAATAGCTACATTCTTCAGAGGTGAATAAATAGCAAACGATCACACCTTATATCATAAGTACAGTACCACGTGAATTCACTTTCTATCGACGAACTAATCATTTGTACCCACGAATAAAAGATATACTGTTAATAAACTGATACTAGATTGCTACTTTGTAGCATAACTACTAATCCTTCTTTAAGAAGCTAGAGGGAATATACAGGTAAACACAAGGTGTATTGAGTCAAGTATTCACCAACCAAGTAGTAAGTCATGAGTCCACAATCCGTTTACCAAGTTTGTCTAACTCTAACCTTGTTACTACATGCGAAGGCTGTCAAAAATCCTCAAGTGAAGCTTCTCTAAAGTGTTCAGACAATACGATTTTAGACAACCGGGTCTGAAAAGAAAAAGGTGTATTGTGCTACTGCATAAAAAACAGTGAAATTTCAAACTAAACCAGTTATGCAGATTCTGTACTTTCTCAGAACTGTTCAAAATAAGTGACAATGGCAAAGATGGACTAATTCCTCATTTCTGTAGAAAGTGTTAATGTTTTTTTACTATTTCTTTGGTTGCTCTCCAAAAAATCACATTCTCAGTTTTACAAATTTCGAGTTTTATAAATTTTTTCTTCCTTACTGGTGAGAATTTCGTCAAATTAAAACAAAACACTCATCTGTGCATTCATACATCGCCAGACAATCATCGTGTATGCTAGTTTAAACTAGTTACATCCATTTTAGGTAGCACAGAACCAACTTTTTTTGAGAAAAGAAACATAAATATTCAGTAAAATAAAACACCTATCAATTTTGAAGGTTTTAGACAATTTTCTCAGGTAAACGTGCACTACTCATGAGTACGGTAGGTGACTAAACGAAAATATTACCAAGGTGACTAAAACGCGGCGACAATGTTCTACTCATAAGTAGCGGCTACTTGTTATTGGGTAGATAAACAATGGTGTGAAACATTGCAAACAAGTGCAACAACTAAAATTAGCACAGTGGTCAACAGTATACAGGCAGGCGATTATTTGGCATCCGAAAGATGAACATGAATGGTGGCTAACCAATAATAATTATCTGATTTTAACGTAAAAAGATGTTAAGCATAAAAAGGGATACCATTATTGGGTACATTTCGCACAGTTGTGATAGGTATCAAGTTAGATTATAAGTCCATCAACTACTTGCTTTTAACATTCGACTTATGCTGTGATATATTTTTGTACTTCAAGTGTATATATATAGGAGTAGGACTCCTGATGATCGCTCAGTTCCTCTCAAACAGAAACGAAGTGTCAAAAACGGCAAAGGTTTATTGTCCTGTCAAATATGCACAAAAATTAACGGTTTATACACATTTGTTGATGGCCTTGGAAAGTCCTACACTTTTCTAGAGAGCCCTTTAACTAATCTGAGTTTCATGTGGTTTTTCTCGAACGTTCGGCATGCTATGATTGGCTGTAAAGGCTTTTGAGGGATTCCGAGGCTTCTTTGAGGAAATCTAGGAGATATTGTTGCACTCCATAACACTATGCAATAAACACAGGAGCACTACTGTAGGTGGCTGTGATCTTTTAAATGATCTCACTTTACTTTCAGAGGTTGAACTAGGCATCGGGGTAGTTTGAATTCGGGACTTCACCAGTTGAAACCTTCTCCAGAAGATACTTCATTATATTCTCTTTTCAAGCAAAAAATGCTTTAACAAAGTGACGAGTCTATCCAAAATCTTTTTCATAGAGGAGAACTACCTTAAGAAATCTTGGTCGGAGTCAAAGGCAACCTTCCGGTAATCAAATATGACTAGGATGGGGCTGGTTTCAAGGATTCTGTGGAAATCAAAGGTCCAGTAGATAAACCTGTACTTAATAAACCTACAAATCTACAACAGTATACTTTCATTCATAGCCATTACCTTAAGACTTTACTGCTGCAAATTATCATGATGACTTTTCTCATCTATACTGAAACTACTCTCCATAGCATAACATCCAGAACGAATTCGGACGGATTTTAGTGCATTTATGACAAAAATAAAGTTATTGACATAGATTAGCCTGGTTACTAATCGTCCTTAATCTTACTTATAATATACAAACGGTACTAGGTTGTTTTTGGACATGAATTACTGTCATGCTGTTACAATTACCAACCAGTCGATCAGTAATTTCACAGTTGACATTTTACCTCAAAACAAAAGTTGAGAAAGTTCTTTTAAGTACAATTTTTCTGCAATCATCCAGGTGCAAATACATGCGTGTTTGAACCAAGGCGTGGTTTAAACCTTCGCACAGACAACATAAAGAACAGAAGAATAAACACGACGTTTGGCTTTCTTGCAATGTAAATTGTTTTCATGTCACCATAAAAGGTGAAAACGACATATTTATAGGCTGAAAATTGTTATTGTTTCCTGGGAACAGATAGTTGTAACAAATGGTTTACCTCATTGAACTACTAATTTAGGATTCTGAAAGCAATAAGCAGGTGATCTAGCTAATGAAACCTTAACTTGCAAACTAAAGTCACCTTGTTAGTAATTCTACATATGTATTCCCAGCTTTGTGTAGTATGGAAGATAGCTTTCGATGGAAGTTATTTTTCATTACGCTTGATGATATGCAGTTCGCAATCCAGTTGTTTCAGGAAACCCAGGACTACTTTTTGAGTAGTATGGAACCGTGGGTCCTGATGTCATAGGAAAGAGGAGCTTAACATGATAATAACTATTTGGCAGTAATTAAGAGACAGGCATAAGGAAGAAGAGAAAAAGGGCAACAGATTGCCATGAAGAACTCATGTTCCTGAGGTTTACATGGCCAAATACTTTCCGAATGTCAAGACTGCATTTTCTAGATGTACCACCTATAGAAGAAGTTGAGTTGGTACAAATGCGATTGTTATAGTTAGATGATATAGCGGTATGACAGGCATTTTTTGGAGGCCAATCATAAACTACCTTAAGATGTTATTTGCACTACTAACCAATTAACCACTTTTTAACAGTTTAGTCATTAATTAAGTCGAAATTTTGACTAGTCAATAAACTGATGTATAGTTTACTCAAATAATGAACAGATATTTTATCGGAATAAGAACACCTAACTCACCTTGTACTCTTTGATCACGTATCATCCAATACAGTACTCCCAGTTTATTTCCCGACTTTAACAGTGAGTCATGAGTTTGTTCGTCAAAATTGTCATCCAGTGAAGGGAAATGGTTTGGTCCATTTAACTGGCGTACACGACATTTAGAATATTTAAACTCGGCAACAGATGTTGCAATATTCAGACGTTTCTTTGCAATATCCTGAATCCATTGTGTAACATCTTGTTTTTCTACCTTCGAACTCATATATTTCAGAGTGCAGATACCTAATTAAAGAAAAGACAAAAACTATAGATATTTCGGCGATTTAGAGAGGGAGACAAGTAAAACGGTTTACAACTCTGAATAAAAGGAGTAACTAAAAGTCACCACCTTAGCAACGGCGGGCATAACACTATTTAGGTTTCTTTATATCGGATGGACATGTAGCATTGTATTACAATAAAGAAATCTAGCTGACTGTCCTAACCGTTGCTAATGTAGCCCTTTAGAGTCACCCAATAATAGTTTATGTTAAAATTACCTCAGTTTAAAACGATAAAGAGGAGTAAACACACAACACTCATAACTATGTAATCCAGGTAAACTTCTTTGTTATTTACTGAGATATAATTAAAAATATTTCTACTAATTATTTATCCGCTTATTACTTTTTTTCTAAATTGCTTCCTATTTGGAGTAATGCTTAACTTTACTAGACAATGATTAGGCGACAGTGACTTAATTTGCTGGAACATAATACAAAAAGCACATACACCACCGCGTAATTGTCTATTAACGGCATGACATAACCTAATGTAAAGAACATTGCTTTTTAAAAGATACCGTATTTTCAAACTTTATCTGTATAACCATAAAACACACTAGTTCACCTTGTTTACTGGTAAGTTGTAAGTCTTTTTTTCAATGAGAGAGAACAAAGTACGAACTAAATTTTCATTAATTTCAAAGTTGAAAGATTTAAATTAAATCCAGCAAAATATTTTCAATGGAAATTGCGATTTGTATGAGTTTTTTCATTCACTAAAGAACCCTTACTGGAGTCAAGAAATACGTCCTCATCAAAAAACCTTTTCTAGCGCTTCACTTAAGATGTAGTGAAATGACTACCAGAAATAGATATTTATATTAAACGCATTAGTCTCTTTGAATCTCATCTCCACAGGAATACTCATTTATCTCACAAATCTTCAAAATTTACAATGAAATTTTATCCTTATGGTAGCTGGTTTTTGATTGCGCCTCTACAACCAACTTTTCCTGCGTGCATTATATATATATATATATATATATATATATAACATCGTGTCCAAGATTCTCGAGTCCATAGTTATGCAATGCCTAACTGCAGCTCAAGAACAACGAACTCGAGAAAACCAGGCACGTTTCAGAAATGAATGAGACTGCATCGATCAGATACTTACCCCTCGACACGTTATGGGACACAAGTATACTTACCGGCAGCCAACACCTGTCATATTTTTTGACCTGAAGGCGGAATTCACCCCTGTCAGTCAAGAAATGTTATAGCATCATATGATTGTCAAAGAAGTACCGATAAAGTATGTAACTTTAATCAAAGGTTTCAACTCAAAACTCACACAACCGTGTAAGGGTTTATGCAGAGTTGTAGTCTGAATTGACAACTAGTGGCGTCGACGAGAGATACCGAGTGTCACCGTTCCTATTTAACTTCGTTGTAGATGTACTAATGGACATAACCTTAGGTTTATCCGACTTCACAGAGACCGATCTACTTCCAGAGGGGCATCTCGTTGACTTTGAGTATGCAGACGATATTGTCCAGTTTCATGATAGGGTATGAAGTGGAATGTTTCAACCATTACTTGGGGAGTTGCATCAGTCCAAGTAGACTGGTTGGTGGCTGGACCTCAGCTCAACTTGCATCATCTCTGGAGCCGGCTGGTAAGATATCCGACTATCTATTGAAGGATTACTATGTTGCGCTGCAGTTTGTTCTCTTTCGTTGTGCGGCTGAAACATGTTCGTAGAAATGAAGAGAATACAGGTTTTGAATACAAAAGCCTTCGCGTTTTGTGGAATCACCATGTGGGCAACGTTGAGGTAAGGCAAAGGATTCTAGAGAAGAAAGACAATTCAGTCGATGAGGATGTGAACTTTCAGCGACTGAAATGGGTTGGACATGTACTGAGCATTCCCAGAAACCGCTTATCTCGGTGTGAAATACTAGCAGAAGTTAGATTAGTTTGGAAGAAGCTTCAGGATGGTCAGGCTAATACGTAACAAGTCCATGAAGTCCCTTAATTTTGGTCTGGAGCGAGTGGAGAGGAGTAGACTACGTGGGTGGAGTCCCCAAGGCGATAGGAATTAGCGGTTGAGAGCTCTTGATGAAATGGCTGGAAATCGGTCACAATGGTATAGGTGTAGTCACTCTCTGACTTCTAAAGCTTGAATGTTTCAACTAACCATGATTTTTAAGTTTTCTTTCCCCCTATACACCTTTCTCTACTTTGATATCAATCTTTCCGACTCACTTTTTCTTCGTATATTGCAGTGAAGTGTGGCAGTTCGAACCAATACACTTGTGTGCAAGGTTCTACTTTGATTTTGTGTCCATCTATCAGTTTGTACTCATAACCTGATACATAAAAAGCAATCAAGAAACATATCATGCTAGCGGAAAACAAAAATTTGTTGTTAGTGATATCTAAATTCTTTTTCACTACACTAAAAAGTAACATTAATCCAAGTAACCTCTAATAGGTAAAATTTAATGCCCGGTCAATCAGTCCAAACCACTCGTTGAACAAAATAGTGCATTGGAAATTGACTGGAGGCATTTTTCCTCTTTGCATTACGTTATGTAGTTGGATGAGAACAACTTTGCTCACTTCTCTAGAAAATGAAATGAGTTGCAAAAACATGTAATGAGGCTGTCTGGAGGTTGACTTCGAAACAACTCACTTAGTTAAAAGTCAACTTTGTCAGGGAATGAGGTAAAACTCTACGAAAGGTTAGTTTGGCATTTATCAGTCTGCACCATCAACAGTGATCGTGAGATGTTCAACCGCGTATCAAAGGGTACGTATGCTATGCATCATTTTGACTTGGTTTACTATACTGCTTCGAAGTATGGTCATTGTAGATAGATCACGAGTTTTGTGCATATGCAAAAATGCATAACTTGATTGTAATGAAGCAATTGATACTCAGGTTGGGAGTGTGGTCTCAGACAAGCCAGTTGATGAGGTAGTAAATCTGCAAAAATTACGTGGTCACATATTTTACACATAACGACCTACTGCCTACTCTGGTGCACAAGGATATTTGGAGTAAGATTGTTACAAAAAGGCAAGTACAAGTTAAACTATGAAGTGAACCGATTTATTGACTCACCAACTACTGGTATGATCCTTACAGGTCACCTAACGCTGAAAAACCTATGGTTGCAGAATCTAGGTAGCGTGGCTCAAAATCGATCACACATTATCTTCCTCAAGTTTTCAATTATCTTGCTAATTAAAATCCTTTTCCTGTGATTGTTTCTGTGGATTTTTTTTGATGCGTTGTAAAGTGTGACAATTTAGACCTACGAACTTCTACAGAAAATTCTACGACCATGAGCTTAAAACTCAAAAAACGGTCATCAAGGAAATGCACAGAGAAGTATTGAGTTACTAAAAGGGTTAAGTCGTCTGAGATTATTAACCATGATGCTACGCAATAGTAATAAGTGAAGATACCAATGCAGAACCAGCGAGTCTCGTCTTCCTATGTAACAAATAAGAGGTAAAATACAAGTTGTAAAGCAAGGTAGGAATTCAATGTTAAGTATGCTAATTGATAAGATGAAACTGATGCAGTCTGCTAAGCGATCAAAGGCTTAATCAGATATGAAAAGTAGAGTAAAATCAGTTGTAGGAAAAAAAGTAGTTAATTTCGGCCAGACATGCTGAGTAGATTTACTAGATGGGACAGAAATAACATAAGTCTTGGAACAGTTGTGAATTGGTCAATACCACCATACGTCACATTAATCCAGCGAGAGGTCATCATTAAATAAGATAAATAAACTGGCAGGAAGCCAGAAAAAGAAAGGATACAGAGAGAACAAACATACGCAACATTACGATAAGAGTAATCCACAAATGAACTTGCGTAAATGCGATCGGTTTTGAGCCATATCACCTGGAGTTTTTTGAAATTAATTCCCGTTGACTAGTCGATTTCAAACAGGAAGCCTTCAGTTTCCTATATGGTTCAGATCAATAGTAACTGCGGGTTGATGCTGTCTTGACCTAGTCACCTTTGGCCTTTTCCCAAACTAATCCTACCCCAGTAAGCAGCCCATTTAAGTTTACAACACTAAGACTTGCTTGAGTACATCAAGCCTACTAATAATAACTAAGAGTGATGTCAGCTTCTATAATATCACAAGAAAGTATGGACTTCTTAAATATCTGTAATAGGAATGGAGAATTGATATCACTTGAGGATAACACTCTACACCTTAACCACAAATTCCCATGTAAATAGCCTACGCTTACATACCATATTTGCTGGGGACCATTTTAAGTGAGAGATCGTTACGTGGGCCCTAGGACAAGTGAGTTAAGGGTAACCTGCAGTTAAAGAAACACAGTAAGTGTTGCATACCTATGTATCGAAGCTTCAGGATACGGACGACAGCTGCTACTTTGATGATGGTGGATGGACTTGCATATCACAATAATAACGTGCAACACTGGTTGGAACACTTGTTCGATCGAGGTCCTACCAACCCAGAAAGGTCTGTTGGATAGTGGTAGGACGAAAAGTAGTTATCATTGTAGTACAAATTGCTAGACTATGATGAGGGTTCGAGGTTGAAGTCGTACTGATGGCTGAATGGCATGTGACAGCAGTAAGCTGTTTCCTTTGGATGACCAGTAGTGCCACGTTGATGATGGCTTCCCTGTGGGAAAGGGAAAGAAGGAAAAACTGACCCTAAAAATACCACACTCCCTGTCTCATGGTGCCGGGGTAAGAACCTTCTTGTCATTTCTTCAGTGGCTGGTGTCATCCAATAAAAAAGAACAAGAATGTCGGAGTCCATGTCAACAGGACAAGAAATATGGAAACAATGATAAGACTTTGGTGGAAACAACCAATCGCATACAAGGCCGTCAGAACAAGCCACCAAGTCACCTGTGGAGAAAACCCCAAAGCCCACGTTTTTCTGGAGCTTGATTCTGATGATGTCTAGAATGACAGAGAAAGCTTCACGACTAAACCATCCAGCTCA